CACTTCCTTTCTTTCACCTTTTCTGGGTCAGCCTGAGGGTTGTCGAAGGTTCTGCCAGAGACTGTTGTCTCCCCAGCTTCCCTCATCCTTGCCCAAGATCGGGTGGCGGTCTCCGACCTCTCTCCAATCTGCCAGTTTTCATGGAAGCCCACTCCTCGCTCCCGTTTCCCTGGGAGAGCGGGAGACCCTTCTCGTCAGCCCAGGCCCTTAGGGGCCCCTGAGCGCCCTGCCCACCCCTCCTGCCCGCCCGGGCTCGGCCTCGGCTCCTGTGGGCCAGACAGACGGCGAGGCCGGGCCACCTACCTTCTCCTGGGCCCTGCTGAACTTCTTCTGCACCTGCTTGGCGAAGAGGCCGGCCGCGCCGCCCGCCTTGCCCTCTGCCATCGTGCCGGCTCCCCGGGGGCCGCCGCCCTGGCCCAGCGCCCTGTGGTTTTCTGAGGCCCCCGAGGAGGAAGTGCGGGCTCCCAGCATGCCTCGCATCCGGCCCTGAGCCACTTTAGGCCGCCCCTGGCCAGCCCTGAGGCCCGCCCCGCGGCCCACCACGGTCAGCCGGGGTAGGCCGGCCCCGAGGGGCGGGGCGGGGCCTGCCCTCAGGCAGCGCTCGCTCGAGGCCAGCTTCCGAGCTCCAGCCCCTGCCAAAAACCTCGTCCTCACTGAACCAGATCCTCAGCAGTGGGCCCAGACTCGTTCGCTCCGGAAAGCCAGTTCCCATCACGCTGAGCACTGGAAAGTAACTGCAACCTCAGGGTAGAAAATGGTGTGGGTTCCACTCAGCGAGAGGACCTACCCTATCGAAAACACGTTTAGGTTCTGTGAGTATGCATGCGAGGCCGCCATGTAAAGTGCGTTTCTTGTTCCAGGTGGCGGTGTAGGCGCTAAGCCTGGAACTGGTAGGGATAGAGTGCAGAAAGCGGGCAGGACACCCGATCCTGGCTTGAAAGAGAGAAACAGGCCGGACGGACGCAGTGGTTCACGCATGTAATCCCAGCACTTTGGGAGGCCGAGGCGGGTGGATCACCTGAGGTCAGGAGACCAGCCTGACCAATACGGTGAAACCCCGTCTCTACGAAAAATACAAAAGTTAACTGAACGTGGTGGCACACGCCTGTAGTCCCAGCTACTCGAGAGGCTGATACAGGAGAATTGTTTGAACCCGGGAGGCGGAGGTTGCAGTGAGCCGAAATCGCGCCACTGCACTCTTGCCTGGGCGACAGAGCGACACTCCGTCTGAAAAAAAAAAGAAAGGGAGGAACAACTAAGCTGGAGATAGAAACAGGGTAGGGGGCTAGTTCTTAGGCAAGGGAATGATCGCATTGAAAAAAGGCTGAGGAGGATAGTATGGACGCCCGTGCCGGGGATGAAGAGCAAGTTTTTCTAGTTGGAGTACAGTGTACTGGATGGATGCAGAATGTGAGAATGTGAACACAGACAGATTGTGCAAATTGGGGTGGGGCTGTTGAGATGACAACTATTGTTTCTCTAGGGAGAAGTTCTCCAAAAAATTCCTCCCTGACCTGTTTGAGGGGATAGCTGGAGATTAGGACACTAGGCGTGGAGGAACCACGCACTCAGATTTTACAGTGCAGGTAAAATTTCTTCAAGGAAGGGAAGAAGGTCAAAATAACACTTCCTAAAGAGTAGGGGGGAAGCTGGGGGCCTGACACAAAATTAAAGACCCTTGTATGCTATTGTGTTCCTCTTCTTTCTCCAAAACAGTCATTACTGCACTCAAGATCAACTGTGTAGCAGGCATTGCTGGGTGTTCTGAAACCAAGGATGAATAAAATGCAATCCCTGACCTCAAGATGCTTAATCATGTCTGGCCAGGCACCATGTCTCACACCTGTAATCCCAACACTTTAGGAGGCCAGGGCAGGCAGATTGCTTGAGTCCAGGAGTTTGAGACTAGCCTGGGCAACATAGCAAGACCTTGTCTCTGCTAAAAATACAAAAATTAATTGGGCATGGTGGCACACACCTGTAGTCCCAGCTACCAGGGAGGCCGAGGTGGTAGGATCACCCGAACCAAGGGAGGTAGAGGCTGCGGTGAACCCTGATGGTGCTACTGCATTCCAGCCTGGGCAAAGTGTGAGACCCTTTCTCAGTAAATAAAAAATAAATATTAATAAATACAAATAAATACATAAATAAAGATGCTTAAAGTCTGGAGGTGGAGATAGGTGGGTAATCAGGTGATTATAATGTAATGTGCTTAATTCATTTGTAGAGATGGATACAAAATTTTCTGGCAATAGGTGATTAGGGTTTGTTTGTTTGGAGACAGGGTCTTGCTTTGTTGCCCAGGCTGGAGTGCAGCAGTGCCATCAGGGCTCACTGCAGCCTCTACCTCCCAGGCCCAAGTGATCCTCTCACCTCAGCCTTCCGAGTAGCTGGGACTAAGGTGCGTGCATGCCACCACTCCTGGCTACCCAGGCTGATCTGGAACTCTTGAGCTCAAGCAATCCACCCGCCTCAGCCTCCCAAAGTGCTGGGATTACAGGTATGAACCACCGTGCCCTGCCAGGCAATTAGGGTTTATTCTGGATATTAGCTTTGGTGATGCCCTGGAAGAGGCAGGGTGACAAAAATGGAAGGTCTTGATGTTGGATGGGGAGAAGTGGGGAGAAGCATGGAGAATAGCAGTACTGCGGGAACACTGAGGGGAGATGGCAATGCTAACGGTTGTGTCACTGGCAGAAGGAGGCCAATACCTGTGTCCCTGCCAGGACTATATGGCATCCTCAGCAATGCAACCCAGCCACTGTCTCCTAAGAAACTCTGTTTAGTGCCAATATCTTGCAAACTGAAATTGATGGTCTCCAAATTATCTAGTGTTAGAGAAGAAACAACCTTTAGAAGTTAATTAGATAGGGAAATTGAGTCACAGAAAGGGCTGATGACTTGCCCACAGTCACCCAGCTCCTCAGTGATGGAACTGTGATGGCAACAGACTCAGCCTCTTAATAGCACACGGAGTGTTCTAGAGGCCTCTGCTGAGCCTGCCAATTCCAGGGTCTATCTCAGCCAGTTTCTCCTTCTGTAATGTTTAATATCCTAGTCCCTTTTGTCTGGTCTTCAGTGATTGACATGAAAAACTGCTTCTCATCCTTTTTAGCCTTCCCCTTTCAGTTCCCCCTTTGCTTTCTCATAGGCCACTCTAACAGACTGAGCCCTGGCCAGGATACAGCAGAATTATCAGTTTCCCAGTTCTCTGTGGTTTATAGAACCCTGGATCCGGTTGCCTATTTTAGTCCCAGCCTTGAAGTGCTGATTCACACTTAGCTTGAGGCCCTATGTTGTTGTCGCCTCTTCCTTTCTGTTCTGCCTCTTCCCCTCAACCCTTTCCTTTCTTTGTTTAGTATTTTCTCTTCTGTCCTTTTTTCTATTCTTAGCTCTCCAGTCTCCTTTTTTTTTTTTTGAGACAGAATCTCACTCTGTTGCCCAGGCTGGAACGCAGTGGCGCAATCTTGGCTCACTGCAGCCTCCACCTTCCAGGCCCAAGCAATTTTCTCCAGTCTCCTTTCTAATTTGTCACTTTCTTAGTCTGCTGGTATCTGCCCTGCCTCCTAATCTTACACTTTTATCTCTGGTGTATCCTAGTAGTTGCCATCACCCAGAAACTTGGAGTGGGCACTCGTTTTAGGCACTAAAGGGGGAAACAAAAGAAGGATGAACCCACGGTCTACCTGGGAAAGTTAGGGCACATTCAGTCACTCAGGAACTTTTTTTGTTTGTTTGTTTTGAGACAGAATCTTGCTTTGTTGCCCAGGCTAGAGTGCAGTAGCACGACCTCGGCTCACTGCAACCTCCGCCTCCTGGATTCAAGTTTTCCTGCCTCAGCCTCTTGAGTAGCTGGGATTACTACGCCCAGTGGAGTACCTGCCACTACGCCCAGCTAATTTTTGTATTTTTAGTAGAGACAGGGATTCACCATCTTGGCCAGGCTGGTCTCGAACTCCTGACCTCGTGATCCACCCACCTTGGCCTCCCAAAGTGCTGGGATTACAGGCGTGAGCCACCGCAACCGGCCCACTCGGGAACTTTTTTTTTTTGAGATGGTCTTTCGCTCTTGTTGCCCAGACTGGAGTGCAATGGTGTAATCTTGGCTCAGTGCAACCTCCACCTCCCGGGTGGAGGCGCCTACCACCACACCCAGCTAATTTTTGTATTTTTTTTTTAGTAGAGACGCCCACCCAGCTGATTTTTGTATTTTTTTTAGTAGAGACGGGGTTTCACTATGTTGGCCAGGCTGGTCACAAACTCCTGACCTCGGGTGATCCACCCACCTCAGCCTCCCAAAGTGCTGGGATTACAGGCGTGAGCCACCGCATCCAGCCCACTCGGGAACTTTTTAAAGCACTCTGTGCCTTCAAATATAGTAAATATCCACAGGAATAGGGCAGATGGACAGATTAGTGGATAGGTAGATCCTAAAGTAACCCAAAATGTGTAACATAAAACTACTCTCACTGGGTTTGTGTTGTGGACTGGTAGAGGTAGCAGCAAAGGGAAGACCCTGCCCACAGATGTGGTGAAATCCAACTTGGATCCTATAACTGCATTTCTTCTAAATCAGTGGTCCCCAACTTTTTTGGCACCAGGGACCAGTTTCATGGAAGACAATTTTCCACGAACCAGGGTGGGGGATGGTTTCGAGATGATTCAAGGGCATTGTATTTATTGTGTACATTGTAATATATAGTGAACTAATTTACAACTCACTATAATGTAGACTCAGTGGGAGCCCTGAGCTTGTTTTCCTACAACTAGACGGTCCTATCTGGAGGTGATGGGAGACAGTGACTGATCATCAGGCACAGGGACCCCTGCTCTGGAGGGCTTAATTACAAATAGACACAGTATGATAATGTATATCCAGTTTTATTTGCTTTTCTATCAATGGCTCAATAGTCTTTTAGAATGTTTTTTACTTGATGATCGCAAGTTCTGTTGCAGATCTAAGAACCATTTTGGGAAGGTCACTGGACTCAGGAAAATGTTCAGTTGGAGGCAATGGTCTGAAGGAAAGACAGTTATGTCCACAGTCAGTAACTCCTGCCTACCTCCTTTCTTATTTCCTCAGGGCTCCAAGTTAAGTATGGTTTTGTACTGGGTTTATGGGAAGTTGACAGGGTGTGGAGGACAGGGCGGCAGGAAGTCAGCCTCAACTGTGATAGGACAGCTCAGTGTTATAGATACATACCCAGAACACAGTGGCAAAGACAGACCTTAAAATGGCCGTGAGCCAAGATTAATACACAAGGCTCCAGAATGTGTTTGAAGGGTGGAGGGCACAGTGAAATGTGTTGTGTGGCCTTTCTACCAGGTCAGTGTAGGCAGAGCCTCACCTAACTCTCAAGCATTATTTAAGGTGGTAAAACCTTTCAAAAATTAGAGTAGGCTTGGCGCTGTGGCTCATGCCTGTAATTCTAGCACTTTGGGTGGCAGGTGGATCACCTGAGGTCAGGAGTTCAAGATCAGCCTGACCTACATGGTGAAACCCGATCTCTACTAAAAATACAGAAAAAATTTAGCCGGGTGTGGTGGTACATGCCTATAATCCCAACTACTTGGGAGGCTGAGGCAAGAGAATCACTTGAACCCAGGAGGCAGAGGCTGCAGTGAGCTGAGATCAAGCCACTGCACTCCAGCCTGGGTGACAGAGTGAGACTCCATCTCAAAAAAAAGTTAGAGCAAATTATCCTAATGTCCTTAGAAAGACCTTGTGGGAGAGGAAGTCGGTGCCTCCTTCCCTTGCCTAGGAGTACGCAGGCCTTTCAGAACCTGTTTTTCCCTGGGCTTCGACTTAGGAAGGCACTGATATGTGCCTGGTTCAGATTTGATGTTGCCACTGTCTTACCCTAAGCAATAAATAATACAGTGAAGTCTGCTCTGTGCGTATGTGGAGGGGAGGGAATTCAGGATGGCAGCATTATTGAGGGAAAGTATGCTATGGAAGGAAGGGAAGGGAGTAAACACATGAATGTAGTAAGGAAGGTGACGGCTTGCCCAGTCCATCCAACTTTTGTTCTCCAACCCAGCCAGTGTGTGGGTCTCCAGGTGACCCCATTTCAACCCATCATTTGAGAGGACTCACTTTATTTATCCAGGAAATGTAAGCAGAGACCCGGGTGAAGACTGTAGGCTTCCTGGAGACATTACAACCCTGCTTGGACACAAAGCTGGTCACTCCGTGGACAGAATACTTGCCATTCACCAAGCAATGGAGGGGACCCCCAGAATCACCCTGCAGGGAGGAGAAACAGAGTCCTAACACTCCAGATCTTTGGGCTTTTGCTTGCACTCCCCCTGCCCCGTGTCTCTGGTTGTGAAATTCTGTACAGTTTTAAAGCTCCAATGCAAATCTCCACTTCCTTCATGTCCCCACAATCAAAATGAATCTCTTCTTCCTTTCTAAACAACCACAATACTTCTTCTCTTTTGCTGCACTTCTTTCATGTTCTGCCTTATATTTTGGTTTCATAATTTGTTTCTGCCTCCCACACATGTCTATGAGCTTCCTGAGACAAAAACTCTTACCAAGATCTTTCCTCTCCACAATGCTAGCATAGAACTTTAAACATCTAAAGTTCAATTGCTTTTATTGGCTTAAATTGAACTTAGGGTGGCAAAAATAGGGCATTCTAATAATTTCTTTATCCCCAGCATTTACACCAATGGGCATAATTAGACCAAGTATTTAGACTTGGTAGTCAACACATGCTAAACTAAACTGGAATGAAGAGGAAAGTGATATATTGGGTTACGTGCTCAATTGGGAACCTGGGTTTATGGACTATGTTCTTACCTCCCTCTTACTCAGCTTCCAGAATGCCAGATCCATAATGCCATACATAAAATGGGAAGATACTTCTCTGGAAAAACTGAACAGCCCGCCGGGCGCGGTGGCTCACGCCTGTAATCCCAGCACTTTGGGAGGCTGAGGCAGGTGGATCACGAGGTCAGGAGATTGAGACCATCCTGAATAACACGGTGAAACCCTGTCTCTACTAAAAATAAAAAATAAAAAAAATTAGCCGGGCGTGATGGTGGGCGCCTGTAGTCCCAGCTACTCAGGAAGCTGAGACAGAAGAATGGCATGAACCTGGGAGGTGGAGCTTGTAATGAGCCGAGATCTCACCACTGCACTCCAGGCTGGGCGACAGAGTGAGACTCTTGTCTCAAAAAACAAAACAAAACAAAACAAAACTGAACAGCCCAAGAGGAAAGACCTAAAGATACTGACATTGGCGGTCCTCCACTAAAGTGGCCCAGCCAGATTGCCTGACAGAGAATCCACTATTGATGAACCCTATCTAAGGCTCAGAGCTACCAATCAGCCCACCCATTCTGAATAAAAATACCACCCCCACTCTGAAAAAAGCATATGGTTAAGGATCCCTAAACATCTAAAGAATGCCTCTAATATAAAAATAAAGATTGAAACAAAGAAACAAGGAGCTAAATAAAAAATGAAGGCAACCAAGACTATGTAGGGAGAAGAAAACAAGCAATAAAACCATGACTAATAGGCCAGGCACGATGGCTTACACCTGTAATCCCAGCACTTTGGGAGGCTGAGGCAGGCAGATCACCTGAGGTCAGGAGTTCAAGACCAGCCTGGCCAACATAGTGAAACCCCATCTCTACTAAAAATACAAAAATTGGCCGGGCATG